CATCACTTGAGCAGCGCTTACCATGCCTTGTCTTTTCCACCAGAAGGCTAAATGAGTAGACGTGTGCAGGGTGCAGAATTATGGGGCCCATCAGAGAGCATATCGTAGGAGGAGCCAAATCTATTTCTCACACTCAAGTCCTTGGTCTCCACTGCAACCAACTCAACTCTCCTCATCCCCTCCTCACTACACACACACCCTCTCTCTCTCACACACACACACACACACACACACACACACACTCTCTCTCTCTCTCTCTCTCTCTCTCTCTCTCTCTCTCTCTCTCTCTCTCTCTCTCTCTACTCTCTGTCTCGCAACACGCCACTAAGCAATTCCCGTGGTAGTCTATCTGTCTGTGTTAGCTGGACCGCGGTCATGGCTTTACCTCCCTGGCGTGACGGTGGCTGGCCGATTGACGAGGAGATTGAATTGATCAGAAAGGCAGGAGCCGTCACTCCTCGGAAATTGCAGGTCACTGACGAGATCGGGACTCCTCCTTCTGCTACGGCTCTTCCTTCCCCTGAGAGCGAAGGCAGGGTCGATGCCGGTGACTGCGATAGAGTCCTGAGGCGTTCTTTCCTCCTTCAGCAGCAGCAACTGCAGGAACAGCAAGTGCAACAGCAACAGCCAACTCCTCCCATTCTTCCCTCTTTCTTGCTCTCTCCTCCAATGTCTCCCAACTTGACTCCCAACTTGACTCCCACGACTCTCTCCTTTTCCTCTTCTTCCTACTCCTCCTCCTCCTCCTCCAAGACCCCCACCAATTCCTCCTCTGCCAGCAGTCATTCATTGCCTTCACGCCCGGCATCTTCTTCCTTACCGTCCCATTTATCGTGTAAGTCTCTACTCTACTTCTTCTGCTCCGCAAGCCGGCCGCAATCGCTCACAGTGGTCTTAGATTCTGTCTCGCCAAATTTCCCGAGCTGTTTTACCCATCATCGTGAGTACTCGTGCTTCTTTTCTATCTTCCCTTTCCTCCCCACCAAACGGGCCATGGCTAATAATCTGATAGAAGTCAACTTACCGATGGCGGCTACTATGCATCCTCCTGTCTCTGATTCCAATCAGATGCCTGATTCTCATGGCTTGCCTTCTCTCTTCGGTGGACTGGGATATCACAACCAGAGGCCCGGACCGAAGTACAACGGTGTCAAGAATGACATGCCAATGGCAATGCCCCCCTACAATCAATTTGTTCTTCTGCCAAATGGCACTATCTTCAGCGGACTGCCTCTTGACCAGGGCCCGTATTTACCTGCACATGGCCTCTACTCCGGCTTGGCCCCGCCTTGTCCGGTGGTGCCGACTCCCCCAAGCGACTACTTCCACAACCCAAATGCTGGCCTGGAAGGACCTGGCTTGTCGAACTTCGGATTCAACGGCCTGCCTCAGCCCAGTGGGACATGTCTACCTCTTCAGATGATGAAGACCCCAACGGGGTATATTCTCCAAGATCTCGAGAGTTTGACGCAGCAAGACCCACCCATCCCACGAGCGGTGCCCGCCATGTGGACAAACCCATCTGATCTCACCCTTGCTAAGTGTCTCGAGAATCGAGAGGGGATTACCAATGTCTACATTCGAGGCTTTCTTCCGGAGACGACTGATGATATGTTGCATGCTTATGCTTCCCGCTTCGGGAAAATAGATCGCTGCAAAGCTATTGTTGACTTGGACACGGGCCTCTGCAAAGGGTTTGTCTGTGTTCTCGTCCTGATATCCTCTCTAACAGTGTTCCAGATTCGGATTCGTCCAATACTACAACTTCGAGTCCTGCGAGAACTGCATCCGCGGTTTCTTCTACCTTGGCTATCAGGCCAGTTTCGCGCAGGTGCTGTCGTCTCTCCAGAATATTTGCTACCTGATCCCTGATATTTTCCTAGAAATCCCGCAACTCTAGGCTCAAAGATCTGGAGGATAAGTCTTCGACCAACATTTACTGCACAAACCTTCCGATTGAGTGGACAGAGGCTGTGAGCATGCTTGTACCCGAAGGAAGAAAGTTTGTACTAATTTAACTTTATCACAGGATCTTCGTCGTCACTTCGAGCCATATCGTGTGGTCTCGGAAAAGATCAGCCGCGATGAGAAAACCGGAGTGAGCAAGGAGGTTGGCTTTGCTCGGTCAGTGTTTCGAAACAGCGGCGTGAGCCTCGAATCGGGATTGACTTTTTGCCATAGTTTTGAAACGCGTGACATTGCAGAGAAGGTGTTGGGAGAGTTCCATAACGTCGTCTCCAAGGATGGAGTCAAGTTGCTCCTTCGTTTCGCGGATACGAAGGCCCAGAAGCTTCTCAAGCAGCAAAGCAACGAGAGACGCGCATACCGTGCTGGGGAATATAACTACTCGGTTGAGGTCGTTCAAGGATCTACCCCGTCGCCTTCATTGCACCGTATTCAACAGGGAGTGTCGCATATCAGCCCCAACTCGCAGGCCAGCTACGCCTCTCCAGTTGGTGTGTCTCCAGTCGGTGTGGGATCAACCTGGACTCCTGCGACATCCATCTCCCCATCGTACGTTACTGAATGTATCCATTCCCTCCCAAGGCATGCTGACGATACAAGCAGGTATCCCCTGATGAAGAGCCAGGCGGGGAACGTGCGCTTCAACTCTTGGTCATCCAAAAGCGGACCAAGAGCCTTGGAGAACACACCCCTTGGTCGAGGGCAACGCAATGCCTGGACTGACAATGTCTCTGGCGGTTCTGCAAAGATGAACTTCCCAGCAACTCCTTGTGTTGAGACTCGCTCCGAGCAGTCTAGTCCTCGCAAGAGTAAAGTCAAGGCTGGCTCCGTGTCTCCAATTTCAGCACGCAAGGAGGTTATCGTGACTTCACCCCGCTCGGTCATCTGAGCATTGAACGTCAACCGTGCCCAATACGTTTGCGTCCTCATGCAACGTACGCTTGCTTTTATTTCTCGATTTCCTCTTTGTGTTCAGAATTCCGAATCTTTCCTATCTTCAGTGGCGGACGACCGGCCAGAGGGCATGAGAGGCTGTACTGCTATGCGCCATGCCCTTCGAGAAGGATCGCCTTTCTAATTGCTTGTGTAGAGGTCCACATGTTAACCACGGAGATGGATGACTGATACAAGTCTCGACTGCCTCATCCATTTCAGAATTCATATCACCTCAATGATTGCTGCATCGCTTTTGTTCGTCTTCTTGAGCTTTTACCGTTTGCGTGTTATTTGTTCTTCATTTCTTGACGACAGCCACGATTGTATGTTCAGCAGAATGATGTCTGATTTAGGAGTTTGTATCTTTTACAACCTGGCCATTCTGGTACTCACGGAAAGAAAGGTGAAAGGATCATGAAGCGATGGGATTGAGTGGAAAAGTGGCATTCCTGTATGTGTCTAATCATGGTTACTCCTTTCGACTCCATAAAACTATCAACGCAGTCTACAGGCCGGGAATCATAGTGATAATGATACTGCGACACCAAAGTCCTCCTGCACGTAGCAACCAGCACTGCTAGTGCTGGTGCCTATCAACTTTAAGGATCAAGGAGGCGAGCCATCTACCCCCGAAGTCATGTCGGCGATAACCTTGACAATGCCATGAAGGTCAAAAAAAAAGGGACGGTGAGAAATCAGCCTCAAAGCACCCCTATCTCAATGCACGCTGAACCGGTCGACTACGGGTACCCGCGGAACGCAAACGACAGATGCCATGCAGACGTCAATTGCGGCCCAATCGCTCCTCCAAGTCGTCGGTCAGCTCATACGCCGGACGATACCGCGACTGATCCGCGCCGGCGTCGGCCTCGGTCCCCGGTCGCAGCAGCTTGGGGTTGGGACGGGTATCGGCTGTGCCGCCCAGACTGGTGTACCCCTGGTCGTAGAGGGAGCAGTAGTGCAGGCCCAGGTGGCGGATGAAGGCCCAGATCTCGGTGTAGTGCCACTCGATGACGGGGTGGTAGCGCAGGAACTGGGGCCAGCCGCTGTCGGTGTAGTCCTGGTGGGTCAGGCGGGCGCCGTGGGGGTCGGTGCGGCGGGTGCCGACGAAGATGGCGCGGACGGCCGGGTGCTGGGCCAGGTAGTCGGCGAAGACGGAGCGGATGGTGGCGCGCGGCGGGTCGGTGGTGTACTTGACGATGTCAAGGTGGTAGTGGCGGGCGGACCAGGCGACGAACTCCTCCACCTCGGGGAAGGGGTCGGGCGGGAGGGCGTAGATGGCGGGGATGGAGATTAGAGACTTGTTACTGCTGCCTGTCGTCGTCGTCGTCGTCGTCGTCGTCGTTGGGGGTTGTGGCGGTGCGTCTGTCTGGTTTTGGGATTGTTGTTGGGATTGTGCTTGTGTTGTTTGTGTCTGCTGTTGTTGTTCTTGGTGCGGTTGATGTGGTTGTCGGCTTGTCGTCGTCGTCGTCGTCGTCGTCGTCGTCGTCGGTAGGTTGTGGAGACTCGCGAGAAACAACACGAGCATCACCAGACAATCCTTGCCGCCGTTGTAGGAGAGGGAGAGATTCTCGAGGGGGAAACTGTCCAGCGCCGCGGCGAAGACGTCCAGGGTCACGCGCGTTTGCTTCTGCACGGCGGCGAGGAGGGAGTCCGCGGGGTGAGATTCGGCGAGGAAGCGTTGGATCTGGTCATGGAGGGCGGCGATTGTGGTCGTTAGTGGTGGGGGTGCGGTGGTGCTTTCGTCATCGTTGGCATTGTCTTTGCTGGTGGCAGCGTCGGTCTTTGAGGGGATGTTGTTGACTTCTGGTGTCGCCTGCTGTTCGGCACCATCGGCCGCAGCGGCGGCGGGGTATGAGGCCGTCGGAGTGTGGGGTGCGGCGGCTGCGCTTGCGCAGGTGCCATTAGGTTGAGACGTGGCCGGTTCGGAGGACATGGTTTTCGTTCTGGGTCCCTTGGAGGGTGGTAGGGTAAGGAGAGGGGAGGGAAGGAGAGGTAAAGGAAGGGCAGCGGAGGGGGAGAAGGTGGGAGAAGGTGGAGGGGTGCGGATTGGTAGCGATGATGACTCGGGATGGTTATCAGCTTGCTTTTTAGGGCGGCCCAAATAGGCGTGGTTGATGCCGCGGAGTGCCAGTCTAGGCTAAGTTCGTTGGTAAGTTCGTTTGGTACTAGTACCGTCTCGGTACAAGTAAGGTAGGTATCGTGATATCTATAAGAAGCAATGTGGAGAAATATACAGAAAAGGTGTGTAGACCGTAAAGTGAGGCTAGGGCATGGCAAGTATATAAGAAGAAGTCGCAAACCCCTGAATGTGATTGTTCAATTGAGGGTTTGGGGGAGGACAGAGAGGCGGAAGGAGGGATGGGACGGATGGCTGTGACGCTGTGACGGCCACTGAACTGGAATGTTCTTTCTGCCCCCCGCATTGAACTCCCTCCCTCCGCGGCTCACCGCCTTCTTATCGCCCGTCAAATCGCATATCAATGCAATTAATTCATTGATTCGCTTTGTTCCTGGCTTTTGATTGCTTGGGTGGGCTTACTCTTTGCTGCGGACTCTCACTGGCACAAGTACTGGACCAGGGCTGCTGTTAATGTATAGAGAGCTAATGAGTGAGTGTGTGGCAAGCAATCCCCCGCCTGTTTATGGTCCATCTTCATGTGGCTGTATTCTTTCCCGGCGCTGTCTACAGTTTGCAAGGGTTGGACCATCCAAAAGGAAGGACATCAGATGAATCTATGCTCTGTCTTACCCTGAGTGACGGTGACAATCAGATTCGATCGAACGTATCTCCGTATAGCATTTGACAAACAGCCCGAAAGCAAAAACACCGAAGGTAAACAGTATGGTATATAGGTTTCATTAATACTATCGTCCCCATAAATGAAGCTCTCAAACTCCACAGAGTAAATCGCCGGTGCTTGCTGGAGATCCGGGCTTTGTGCTGGGGCATTTTCATCCCAGCACTTTCATTTTCTTCTTCTTCTTTTTGTCCCCGTCCTTCTTATGTCCCTTCTGGAAGTCGCGCCAGCTACCGATTCGATCGTCGCGAGTATCTTCCCAGGCTTTGTCCTGGTCGCGTTTGCGTTTCCGTGCCTCCAATTCTTCCTCCTCCTTGCGCCGTTCGCGTCCTTCCTCTTGCAGCTTGGCCTTGGCCTGCCTGCGCCGCCGCGCCTCTTCTTCCAAGAGCACTGTGACCGTCATCTTCCGCCATTCTTTCTTGAACTCCTCCGTCTTCAACTCCGGAGAGTCGAGGTTGTACTTGTGCTCGCGGATCAGCAGTCGTCGCGCGTCCGCAATGCATTCGTCGAGGTATTCGCGCTTCTTCTCGTCCATGAGTGCGGAGTGCGCTTTCTGAAGACGATCGAAGGCATCGGGGGCGGCCGGGTTCTTGGTCTTATCCGGGTGAATCAGAAGGGACTTTTTGCGATAGCACATTTTGATATCCTTCTCTGTGACTCCCGGCTGTAGGTCGAGCACGGCGTATCTATCCCAACCATCGCGGGTTAGCTTCTGACCACCAGCTTTGACAATTATAAAGTCTTGCGGTGTAATGCGCGCAACTTACGCGTCCAAGACAAAAGCGTTCCTAATCCGATCAATCTCTGCATCCTGCAATTGGAGTTAGCATCGGCGACGGGATTGTCGATGGGATGAGGGGGGTGAAGTGGAAGGCACCTTGTCAAAGTCGGACGCCTCCCGCTCGAGAGCGTCCAGCGCATCTTGTTCCTCGGAGGCCATGATGCTGGATATCCGGGGTCCAGGTCAAGAACAGGCAGCTCTCCCCAGGGTCGCACTGGTCGTGTGTCTGCAAGTTGAATGGCGATCGATGATAAGCATTGGCTTATCGCTGGCTGAGTCATCGGCGACTAGGCCCGCCTGGCAACCAAAACGAGAGAAAAAAAAAGTTGCTTCACCGCCCGGAGATTGAGATTCGCATTTCTGATCAGCGCCAAATCATTGTTGCATTACTATTGTTCCCACACGATACCAGTTCTCGCCTTTTTGCTTTCTGTGGACGCACTTGTGGGATTTTTGATCTTTAAGACTAGCCCACTATGGCTCCGACTCACGGTCCTCGTGATAAAAAGCAAGCCAAACCACCTCAGCGGGCCGGTAACTTGAAGCGCAAGCGTGCCCAAGACGATTTGTCTTCCCTCATCCAGCGAGTAGAAGAGCTCGATGTCAAGGACTCGATCAAAACATTCGCCGACTTGCCTTTGTCCGAACCGACCGCCTCCGGACTCGCCTCATCTCATTACAAGACTTTGACCGATATCCAGTCCCGTGCGATCAGTCATGCGCTCAAGGGCCGCGATGTTCTAGGCGCCGCGAAGACGGGAAGCGGCAAGACCCTGGCTTTCCTGGTCCCCATTCTCGAGAACCTTTACCGCAGGCAATGGGCGGAGCAAGACGGCTTGGGCGCCCTCGTTCTTTCGCCGACCCGCGAACTCGCGATCCAGATCTTCGAAGTCCTCCGCAAAGTTGGTCGCTACCACCAGTTCTCTGCAGGTCTCGTCATCGGTGGAAAGAGTCTGCGTGAGGAGCAGGAGAGATTGGGACGGATGAACATTTTGGTCTGTACGCCTGGTCGGATGCTGCAGCACTTGGACCAGACCGCTTTGTTCGATACATACAACCTACAGATGCTTGTCCTGGATGAGGCAGATCGCATTCTGGATATGGGATTCCAGAAGACCGTGGACGCGATCATCGGCCATCTCCCGAAGGAGCGCCAGACACTGCTCTTCAGCGCAACGCAGACGAAGAAGGTTTCCGACCTGGCGCGACTGAGTCTCCAGGATCCAGAATACGTGGCTGTCCACGAGACCGCCTCGTCCGCCACCCCCTCCAAACTTCAACAACACTACGTCGTCACTCCCCTCGCGCAGAAGCTCGATGTCCTGTGGAGTTTCATCCGAAGCAACCTGAAAACCAAAACCATTGTCTTCCTCTCTTCCGGAAAGCAGGTGCGGTTCGTTTACGAGACTTTCCGGCACATGCAGCCCGGTATCCCCTTGATGCACCTTCACGGCCGACAGAAGCAGGGCGGCCGACTCGATATCACGACCCGGTTCTCGTCGGCACAACACGCAGTGCTCTTCGCCACCGATGTCGCTGCGCGTGGGCTGGACTTCCCAGCTGTTGACTGGGTCATCCAGCTGGATTGCCCGGAGGATGCTGATACCTACATCCACCGTGTGGGTCGTACGGCACGGTACGAGCGCGACGGTCGCGCGGTTCTTTTCCTGGACCCCAGCGAGGAGAAGGGCATGTTGAAGAGTTTGGAACAGAAGAAGGTTCAAGTCGAGCGAATCAACGTGAAGGCGAACAAGCAGCAGAGTATCAAGGACCAATTGCAGAATATGTGCTTCAAGGACCCCGAGTTGAAGTACCTGGGCCAGAAGGCCTTTATCTCCTACGTCAAGTCGATCTACGTTCAGAAGGACAAGGAGACGTTCGATGTCAAGAACCTCAAGCTGGACGAGTTTGCGGCTAGTCTGGGTCTTCCCGGTGCGCCCCGCATCAAGTTTATCAAGGGTGAGGACACGAAAGAGCGCAAGAACGCGCCCCGTCTGGCCGCCTACGCGTCCAGCGACGACGAGTCGGACGAAGATGGCGAGAAGAAGAAGACCAAGAAGGAAGAGCCCCAAGTACGAACCAAGTATGACCGCATGTTCGAGCGACGGAACCAGGATGTGTTGGCCGACCACTACTCGAAACTCATCAACGACGACGGCACGATGGTCGAGCCCAACACGGCCACGCAAGATGCCGACGAGGATGATGACTTCCTGTCCGTCAAACGCCGCTTCGAAGCCGGGGATAAGGATCTGGGAGCTGGATCCAGCTCGGATGAGGATGACGATGGGGAAGGCGCGGAGAAGAAACCGACCAAGGTGGTCCAGCTGGATGGCAAGCAGGCGTTGGTCATCGACTCCAAGCGCCGGGAGAAGCTGCTCAAGTCGAAGAAGAAGTTGCTCAAGTTCAAGGGCAAGGGCTCGAAGCTCGTTTTCGACGACGAGGGCAACGCGCACGAGCTGTACGAGATGGAGGACGAGGAGGACTTCAAGGCCAAGGGCGATGCCAAGGAGCAGCAGGCTCGCTTCCTGGCGGAGGAGGCCGAGCGCACGCGGCGGGCGGACGTGGAGGACAAGGAGGTGGCCAAGCAGAAGAAGCGCGAGAAGAAGGAGAAGCGCAAGGCCCGCGAGCGCGAGCTGCTGGCTGCGGAGGCAGGGGAGGAAGGAGAGGGCGAGGAGAGGGTGGCTTACCTCGCCCCGTACAAGGAGGAGGACGACCGCGACATGGATGGCGGATTCTCTGCATCGGAGGCGGAAGAGGAAGCCCCTCGTCCCAAGAAGTGGTTCATGGACGACGACAGCGACGACGAGCCCAAGTCCAAGAAGGCCAAGAAGGCCCGAAAAGAGCCCGAGCAGCAGATCCAGACCTTGGAGGATCTGGAATCGTTGGCTGCAGGCTTACTGGGGTAGTTTGGGTTGTCTTCTGCAATGGGTATATCCTTGGGTCTGATGTTGTTGTTTATTTGTATTGTTACATAGCGGATAATCCTAAAAGCATTTTCATTGGTTCCACATGTGGTATGCACGCCGTTATGCATAATCTATGCATAGTATGTGTAGATATAGTGCATCAACCTATCACTCCAATCTGATGCTCGTATATAAAGTTGAGGACCTCGATAACTCTATCTGGGAGTGACAGTCACGTGGGTGACAGCCGAGCGGTGGGTCCAACCCGCTTTGCATCGGCAGTTCCATCGAACAATTTGCGACGGCGATGGCCAATTCCATTCTTGCTACGTAAGACTTTTCAATCACGCCATCCGCTAACGTCAAAAACTTCAATTGCAGAATAAGACGGGGCGAGAGCTGTCAGCTTGAAGATGGACTTCTTTTTCCCCTGGTTCGAGGTCTTGCCAGGAGGTTTGAGGTTTGAGCAGTTCATATAGCGTTGAAACGCCGATCTGGCCTGCAGATTTAGCCCAGTTTTCTTGGTCTTCTCGGCTTAGTTTTGTCTGGGGGTTTCCACTTTTCATACGTCACGTGCTACTCGAGGAGGAGACTCTTACTGCTTTGGGTAGTCTGTCGTCATTGGTGGACGGGCTGGTCTGCTGTATACTTGGTGAGCAACTATAACACTTCACCTCACCTACCTACCTACCTACCTACCTACCTACCTACCTTCTTCTATCTACAGCTTGGTGAATGTGCTAACATGGCAATGTCACAGCTTCTCACGACCTTATTCATTCTGAGACACAACAACCATGGCAGTCCCTGACATCGAGAAGCACCCCGCTGCCGAAGCAGGAGCGCCTCCGGCCAAAGGGCCCGGCGCATCTGGCGGCTTCATCGATGCGGATGCGCAATTCGTCCGCGCGGATCGGCTGGCACGGAAGCTCTCTGCCCGCCAGGTGCAGATGATTGCCATCGGCGGCACCATCGGCACGGGCCTGTTCCTGGGCACGGGCAAGTCGCTGGCCACCGGTGGCCCGGCGTCCATGCTTACCTCCTACATCATCTGCGGTGCCATCGTCTACGTGACGATGCTGTCGCTCGGTGAGATGGCTGCTTTCATCCCCGTCGCGGGATCGTTCTGTACTTTTGCTGGGTAGGTTTGCTTCATCGTCTTTTTTGGTGCGCGCGCACCCGAGGCTAACAGAGATTGCGGCACTAGTCGTTTCGTCGATGATGCTTTGGGCTTCGCTCTGACGTGGAACTATTGGTTCAACGATGCGGTGTCCACGGCCTCGGATATCATAGCGCTGCAGCTGGTGCTCGAGTTCTGGACGGATAATTTCCCCGGCTGGGCGATCAGTTTGATCTTCCTGTTTGTTGTGATCTTTCTGAATGTCATGTCTGTGAAGGTTTATGGAGAGGTTCGTTTCCGCTGCTCGTTTCCGCTGCTGTGGTTGGTGGATTTTTGGGGGGGGGGGGGGGTGCATTGGCTAACTTTGGTTGTGCTGCAGATTGAGTACTGGCTGAGTCTACTCAAGGTCGTGACCATTATTGTACGTTCTTCGTCTGGGGTGCAGCATCTGATATGCATGGGACCATGCTAATTCGATATAGATCTTCATCATCCTCGGTATCGTTGTCAACTGCGGCGGCAACCGGGATCACACTTACATCGGAAACAAATTCTTCTACACCGGGGAGGCTCCGTTCGTCGGTGGAATCGGAGGATTCGCCTCTGTCTTCGTCACCGCGTCTTTCGCCTAGTATGCTTTCCCCTCTCTTTTTTCCCCTCGTGCAATCCCAAGCCACGCGAAACTAACCCACTCCCGCAGCGGCGGCACCGAATCCATCGCCATCACCGCCGGCGAGACCAAGAACCCGTCCAAGACCCTGCCGCGGGTCGTCCGCAACGTCTTCTGGCGCATCGTCCTCTTCTACATCGTCTCGATCGTGCTGATC